ATGACAGGAAGCAAAGGTACGACGTCATGTCCGGAAGCAAAGGTACGACGTCATGTCAGGAAGCAAAGGTACGACGTCATGTCAGGAAGCAAAGGTACGACGTCATGTCAGGAAGCAAAGGTACAACGTGATGACAGGAAGCAAAGGTACGACATGATGACAGGAAGCAAAGGTACGACGTGATGACAGGAAGCAAAGGTACGACGTCATGTCAGGAAGCAAAGGTACGACGTGATGACAGGAAGCAAAGGTACGACATGATGACAGGAAGCAAAGGTACGACGTGATGACAGGAAGCAAAGGTACGACGTGATGACAGGAAGCAAAGGTACGACATGATGACAGGAAGCAAAGGTACGACGTGATGACAGGAAGCAAAGGTACGACATGATGTCAGGAAGCAAAGGTACGACATGATGACAGGAAGCAAAGGTATGACGTGATGACAGGAAGCAAAGGTACGACACGATGACAGGAAGCAAAGGTATGACGTGATGACAGGAAGCAAAGGTACGACACGATGACAGGAAGCAAAGGTATGACCTGATGACAGGAAGCAAAGGTATGACCTGATGACAGGAAGCAAAGGTACGACGTCATGTCAGGAAGCAAAGGTACGACGTCATGTCAGGAAGCAAAGGTACGACACGATGACAAGAAGCAAAGGTACGACGTGATAACAGGAAGCAAAGGTACGACATGATGACAGGAAGCAAAGGTATGACCTGATGACAGGAAGCAAAGGTACGACATGATGACAGGAAGCAAAGGTACGACGTCATGTCAGGAAGCAAAGGTACGACACGATGACAGGAAGCAAAGGTACGACGTCATGTCAGGAAGCAAAGGTACGACGTGATGACAGGAAGCAAAGGTACGACATGATGACAGGAAGCAAAGGTACGACGTGATGACAGGAAGCAAAGGTACGACGTGATGACAGGAAGCAAAGGTACGACATGATGACAGGAAGCAAAGGTACGACGTGATGACAGGAAGCAAAGGTACGACATGATGTCAGGAAGCAAAGGTACGACATGATGACAGGAAGCAAAGGTATGACGTGATGACAGGAAGCAAAGGTACGACACGATGACAGGAAGCAAAGGTATGACGTGATGACAGGAAGCAAAGGTACGACACGATGACAGGAAGCAAAGGTATGACCTGATGACAGGAAGCAAAGGTATGACCTGATGACAGGAAGCAAAGGTACGACGTCATGTCAGGAAGCAAAGGTACGACGTCATGTCAGGAAGCAAAGGTACGACACGATGACAAGAAGCAAAGGTACGACGTGATAACAGGAAGCAAAGGTACGACATGATGACAGGAAGCAAAGGTATGACCTGATGACAGGAAGCAAAGGTACGACATGATGACAGGAAGCAAAGGTACGACGTCATGTCAGGAAGCAAAGGTACGACACGATGACAGGAAGCAAAGGTACGACGTCATGTCAGGAAGCAAAGGTACGACATCATGTCAGGAAGCAAAGGTACGACACGATGACAAGAAGCAAAGGTACGACGTGATAACAGGAAGCAAAGGTACGACATGATGACAGGAAGCAAAGGTACAACATCATGTCAGGAAGCAAAGGTACGACACAATGACAGGAAGCAAAGGTACGACATGATTACAGGAAGCAAAGGTATGACGTCATGTCAGGAAGCAAAGGTACAACGTCATGTCAGGAAGCAAAGGTACGACGTCATGTCAGGAAGCAAAGGTACGACATGATGACAGGAAGCAAAGGTACGACATGATGACAGGAAGCAAAGGTACGACGTCATGTCAGGAAGCAAAGGTACGACGTGATGACAGGAAGCAAAGGTACGACAGGATGACAGGAAGCATAGGTACGACGTGATGACAGGAAGCAAAGGTACGACATGATGACAGGAAGCAAAGGTACGACATGATGACAGGAAGCAAAGGTACGACACGATGACAGGAAGCAAAGGTACGACGTCATGTCAGGAAGCAAAGGTACGACGTCATGTCAGGAAGCAAAGGTACGACACGCTGACAGGAAGCAAAGGTACGACGTCATGTCAGGAAGCAAAGGTACGACGTCATGTCAGGAAGCAAAGGTACGACATCATGTCAGGAAGCAAAGGTTCGACATGATGACAGGAAGCAAAGGTACGACGTCATGTCAGGAAGCAAAGGTACGACGTCATGTCAGGAAGCAAAGGTACAACGTCATGTCAGGAAGCAAAGGTACGACATGATGACAGGAAGCAAAGGTACGACGTCATGTCAGGAAGCAAAGGTACGACGTCATGTCAGGAAGCAAAGGTACGACGTCATGTCAGGAAGCAAAGGTACGACATGATGACAGAGAGCAAAGGTACGACGTCATGTCAGGAAGCAAAGGTACGACGTCATGTCAGGAAGCAAAGGTACGACACGATGACAGGAAGCAAAGGTACGACCTGATGACAGGAAGCAAAGGTACGACGTCATGTCAGGAAGCAAAGGTACGACGTCATGTCAGGAAGCAAAGGTACGACGTCATGTCAGGAAGCAAAGGTACGACATGATGACAGAAAGCAAAGGTACGACCTGATGACAGGAAGCAAAGGTACGACGTCATGTCAGGAAGCAAAGGTACGACACGATGACAGGAAACAAAGGTACGACATGATGACAGGAAGCAAAGGTACGACATGATGACAGGAAGCAAAGGTACGACGTCATGTCAGGAAGCAAAGGTACGACGTCATGACAGCAGACCCCATTCACAAAACTTCATAGAACACAGGTTACACACAGGTTACACACAGGTTATACACAGGTTACACACAGGTTATACACAGGTTACACACAGGTTATACACAGGTTATACACGGGTTATACACGGGTTATACACAGGTTATACACAGGTTACACACAGGTTACACACAGGTTACACACAGGTTATACACAGGTTATACACAGGTTACACACAGGTTATGCACAGGTTACACAGGTTATTCACAGGTTATACACAGGTTACACACAGGTTACACACAGGTTATACACAGGTTATACACAGGTTACACACAGGTTACAGTTACACACAGGTTATACACAGGTTACACACAGGTTATACACAGGTTATACACAGGTTACATAGGTTATACACAGGTTATACACAGGTTATACACAGGTTACACACAGGTTATACACAGGTTATACACAGGTTACACACAGGTTACACACAGGTTACACACAGGTTACACAGGTTATACACAGGTTACACACAGGTTACAGTATACACAGGTTACACACAGGTTATACACAGGTAATACACAGGTTACACAGGTTACACAGGTTATACACAGGTTATACACAGGTTATACACAGGTTACACACGTTACACAGGTTATACACAGGTTAAACACAGGTTATACACGGGTTATACACAGGTTATACACAGGTTACACACAGGTTACACACAGGTTACACACAGGTTATACACAGGTTACACACAGGTTATACACAGGTTACACAGGTTATACACAGGTTATACACAGGTTATACACAGGTTACACACAGGTTACACACAGGTTATACACAGGTTATACACAGGTTATACACAGGTTACACACAGGTTACAGTTACACACAGGTTATACACAGATTACACACAGGTTATACACAGGTTATACACAGGTTATACACAGGTTACACACAGGTTATACACAGGTTACACACAGGTTACACACAGGTTACACACAGGTTATACACAGGGTGAAGTTGGTGTTTTGTAAAAAGGAAATCACAGGAAGCTGCATTTGCCCCTAAAACACTACATGTAAAATATATGTGACAATTTATACTTTCATACGATACACTTCAACACAGCAGCTGCAGGAACAGGACAGATCCACAACAAAAAACAATATTTGTGTGTTTTTCATGAAAGGGGGAGGAGCTAACAAACGGCGATGCACTGTCTGAAGGAAAGGATGCCATGTCCATCTTCAGCTCGGCTCAGGCTGACGCAGGTGAGATTGTAGACCCAGGACTGAGGCTGTAGACCCAGGACTGAGGCTGTAGACCCAGGACTGAGGCTGTAGATCTAGGACTGAGGCTGTAGACCCAGGACTGAGGCTGTAGATCTAGGACTGAGGCTGTAGACCCAGGACTGAGGCTGTAGACCCAGGACTGAGGCTGTAGACCCAGGACTGAGGTTGTAGACCCAGGACTGAGGTTGTAGACCCAGGACTTAGGCTGTAGACCGAAGACTGAGGCTGTAGATCCAGGACTGAGGCTTATGTAGCGTCTTTGAGCGTCCAAAACAGCCCTTTATAAAACCAATGCATTATTATCATTATTATTATTATTATTATTATGTTATTAATGTTATTTCTGTGTTGTTTCTGTAGAAGAATCGGGACAGGACGACGCCTCGGCCAAGTCCAACCCGTCGCTAACCCGAGAGAAGGACTTGGCCGTGAACATGTCCGACCTCGACAACATCTTTGACGAAGACGAGGAGGAGCTGGGAGTGAGTCCAACACTCTTCATCACTAAGTCTTCCTCTGACCTTCTCTTAATCCTGTGTGTTTTCAAACTAAAGGGCGTGTACCAGCATTCCACAAAGCCCCCAGCCTCAGCAGAAGAGCGCCCCCTACTGAGAGAAGGCAGAGCTGCAGTCCCGTATCCATCAAGTCAGTGACTCTGTTCTTTATGGACCAGAACTAATACATTTTACAATCTGCAAATAATGATTAATATCACACTTTTTAAATTATGAGATTCATTAAATATTAGGGCTGTCAAACGATTAATTTTTTTAATCGAGTTAATTACAGCTTAAAAATTAATTAATCGTAATTAATCACATTTCAAACTATTGGCAAAATTATGCCATATTTTTCTGTAAATTGTTGTTTGAATGGAAAGATAAATGACAGCTTAGTGAACATATGAACTGTATTTGTTTGTTATAACAATAAATCCATATAAAATGGAATTAACATTATTAACATTCTGTCTTTCTGTTTA